CCACTTACCTCTCCCTAACCCCCCTTCCTGATGTCAGGTAAAATACACTTATTTTCATGAACACAAACGCTCTTTATTTAACAAAACTGGGGGGAGAGGGAATGAAACTCTGGTGAGACTGGAGAAAGGAGGCAGGAGAGGGGAAGAAAGAGGGTGGAAGAGGGGAGGGGCAAACCTGGGAAGAGAGAGCTGGAAGGGGGAAGAAAGGTGAAGAAGGGAGAGGGGAAGCTCAGGGTTCAGGGTTGGGGTCTCGCCAGACGAACTTGATTTTCATGCAAACCTGCTCCTAGGTTCACATGTGGCCTTTGGTGGCCAGGCTGGCTGCTATCCTGCCATAGACAGCCACGTTCCTCTGTCTGGTGTGGAGATCAGGGACGTTGGGGGCATCCCCCCCAAACCTGAATAAGGTCCATGATCTCCACCCTGGACCATGAACATACCTGCCTTCTCCGGGCCCTGGCAGGCTCCTGGGTGCTGGCAGACTGCTCCTGGGGAGCGGTGGAGGGCTGGCTGCCAGTGGCTTGCTGGCTCATGTTTTGGGGCCACTAGGTATGGGGCAGTGACTGCTGGCTCTGGGCTGGCAGGCTTGGAGCTGGCACAGGCACTGCTGTTATTTCGAAATAATTTTGCTGTGTAGTCATAACTCTAGGGCTTTCACTTTTTCCCCTCAATTTTTCAAGCCTTGGCGTTCTGCAGTTAAGCCAAGCATCGACTTGTTCTTAGCCTGTATTCCATTTATTGTCCTAACCTGCCAATATATCCGAAAGGCTTTAGTATCTTTATTTTCCCACCATACTTTCTCCAGCTTTCTTTTGTTTTGTCTTTTTATAGCCCTTTGCACAATTGCCTTGTTTCTGTTATATTCAATTAAATCCTCACTATCGACTGTAGTTTTTACTTTCTTATATGCCTTCTTCCTTTCCTTAATTGCTTTTTTATGTTCCTCATTCCACCATGGTACATGGTTTCTACCTTTAGGGTGACTTTATATCTTAGGCATTGCTAACTTTGCTGCCATTGTAACTACTTTAGTTATATTGCTACTCAGCTCCTCAGTGTCACCAGTTACACAATATTTTCATTACATTTTCTTCCAAATAGTTCCCTGTTTTCTTGCTTTTTTACATTCCAAGTGGGGATGCTTTCCTCAACATTGCTTTTATCTTGATGGTCTATGCACCCAGGGAAGTGCTCGCTTCCTATTTCCTCCTCTTTGCTGACTTTATAGCTACATTTGCTTGTGATGCTACTTGATGCAATTTCCAGGTCTAGAATTGGCAGGTTCATTACATCTGGTATTTTTACCATCGTACACTATTGCTAAATTATTTGTATCAATGAATTGACCATTTGCCTTTCTTATATTTTTTTCCTCTTCCCCATAATCTGCTATGGCAATTTATGTCTCTCTCTATATTATATACTAGAAGATTTACTTGGTGCAGCTCAGGTCCTTAACTCATTTTTTTGTTTTTGGGAAATCAAATGGTGGAATGAGAGCTCAGAATGCAGGTTGCCCAGCTGGGAGGAGACTATCCCAGCCCTCTCCCATGATCACTGCTTTCTAGGTTGCCACCCACATCTACTTCCCTTACTAGTTCCACCCTTTTTATGGGCAGCAGGTCAAGCTGTGCATGGCTCCTGGGTGGTTTCATCAGCACTTTTACCAATAAGTTATCCCCAACATTCTCCAAAATCTTCCTGGACTGTCAGTATACGGCTGTATTGGTCTCCCAAGAGACATCAGGGAGGTGAAAGTCCCCCGTTGGACCCAGGGCCTTGATTGTCTAAAGAAGTCTTGTGTACCTTATCCATCTGATCTGGTGGTCTATAGAAGACACCAACCACAGAAAGGAAGACAAGCCTCCATCTTAAGTTCCTTGACTGACCAGCATGGGATTTGAACCCACAACCAGATGAGCTATCTGATTAAACTTTTAATCATTCTTGTGGCTCTTCTTTGAACATAAATGCAAATGAGATTAAGACAGCTCCTTGACAGAGACCTCTCCTCACTGTAGTTGTAACTACTTCTCACTACTCTTGTGCTACCTTTGTACATGTCCATGTTTGAACGTGTTTCTGCATGATCTCAGGCACCAGCATATCTGTTCTCTAGGAACTCTGTCACAAGCCTTCTCTAAACACACAAACACTCATACTATTCCCTTGTATTGCTCCTGGAATTTCTCCTACAATACTTGGACAGCAAACATTGCATTGTTGGCCTTCTTGGCACAAACCAAAATCAGGTGCTGTCTAATTGATGCTCAGGTTCCTCACATAATTTTTCTCAAGAATTCATTCCAGCCATTTCATAGTGTGACTCATCCATTTGCATTCTTGTACATCCCCTTTGTGCTGGGAGACATGCACTTCTTTCACTCCTCAGGCACGTTTTCAGTTTAGGAGATTGAATTGAAGATGTTTGTCATCATCGCTACTTCCTCACAGTATAATGAGTTAAATTCTCCTATTGGTCCATCTGTTCTCACTGCCTTCTGATGTTTTATCATCCACTCTCTGCTTGAGTCTCTACCACAATGTTAGTGTTGTGAAGTTGTTGACTATGCCTGCGTCTGACAGTGGTTTCCTCAGGTTCTTTTCACTGAGTAAAAGTTTCTCTTAAAACTGCAGCCATCTCCTAACAATTTTGCCATCTTCCAGCAGCATTCTTGCTTTTTCCTTTATGAAACCCCTCATGTCGTCAGAGCTTCTTTGCCGAAGTGCCACTGAACTGCATGTTACCTTTCTTCTTTCCTTCATCTGTCATCCTACATGTCTCACATTGGGATTCTGCAATGGCTGGTTTTGACTTTTTCTTTACCAGCTTTCATTCCTCATAACTTTCCACTCTTCTCACTTTCTTCTATCATTTGAACCTTTCTTGCCTCTTCTTTTCCACTTCCTGTATATCACTGGACCACCTCCCTGTCTTTTCCCATGACATTTTCCCATTGTTGACTGGGTTGCCTCTCATAATTGTCTCTCCCTGGAATTTAGCCTTCTGCTTTCCTTCTCATCCCAGCCTCTCTTCTGTTCTGAGAAGGTGGTGTGTACACTACCCTCCTCCAAGGACTTCTCTTGATTGGCTGGAAGACAGTGGAGCTCTGCCTGCCATTACTCTCTGGATCTTCTGTTGCCAAGTACTGGGTTTTTTCCCTATCCAGCCCCTAATTCTCTAGAATCATGTCCTCTCCTCTGCTGCCTAGCCATTTCCTTGGCCTTTGTTTATTCCAGCTCCCTGGAGTCTTCTGGCCCCCTCTGCTCTTAATGAGTCAATTCACTATGGGTACATCTACACAGCGGGGCTATTTTGGGATATGGGAACTTAAATGCACCCATTATTTTGAAATATTTTTCAAAATAATGGGTGCATTTAAAAGACCATTTCAGCCTCCCAGTAACCCTCATTCCACGAGGGCTAAGGGATGTGTCAGAATAGCATGTTATTTTGAAATTTGCTGCTGTGCAGATGCACCAAATTTCTAAATATGTTATTTTGAAATACAAAATTAAGATCAGATGCACACTTTACGTAGCGCAAATTGCGTATCTTATTTCGAGTTTAGGGTGCTGTGTAGTTGCCTATGCTATACCAACATAGAGGTACAGGGCTGTGTGTGTGTGTGAGAGAGAGAGAGAGAGAGAGAGAGAGAGAGAGAGAGAGAGATTAAAAAACCTGGGGTTATCAAATACAAAAACCCTCTGACTTCTTTCCAGTCATCCCTTTCCTTCAACCAACATTCTCTTCCCTCCCCAGCATTGCTGGTAAGTGATGCTCAGGTGGGCAGATTTGTAGGAAATGGGACTTTAACAGTCTCAGAACTGCTGCTGCTGTGTCATCCATCTAGCTGCCAGCAACTGCTTGCATTCCTGAGCCCCTGGTCCCTTTCACCCTAGATGCTTCCAGAAATCTGTCTCTCTCTCTGGTTGCTCTTCATATGATTAGGTTTGCACTGGGAGAGAATCCTCCCAATTCAGCAACACACACACAAATGCTCACCTTTGCTCATCTGCAGGGGGAGAGAAGAAAGCTGTAGGAAGCAGATAAGCCAAGCGGAGAGGTGTAAAATGGAAAGCTGCGAGGGGAAGGGCAGAAATGGCCAAAGGGATGTAACTTTTTTACCTCTCACCAGTTTCTGTATTTTGAAAGTGTGTTAAATTCCCTTTGGGGTACTAGAGGACTATGTAATTAACGATGGCACTATAAATAATAATAATTATTATAATAATAATAAGCCACACAATAAGAGGGGCTGTGCTAACATAGTAATAACTCTTTCCTCAGATAATAAACTCCCAGGCTGAATATTTCTATAAACAACTCAACCACCAACTTTGGAATTTATTTAGCTGAGGATTTGGTTATTACACCTCATAAATAAGAAGTATCCTCAAGTTACCATTATAATAAAACTGTTACAATGCATTGCTTTTTATATAGGAATTATGCAAAGCACTTTAGTGTGACAGAAAATTTATTCACTGGCTTTTGCTACATGTTCAAGTGCAAAACTGCTGTACTTTGGGTTCATACCTATCTAGCTTGATTGGTACTGCTGTGATGGTCCTGGGCTATGCAGATAAATGAAGTACACTGAATGTCATTAACCGGGTACTTTGGAATCCTAGAGGGAGAAAAATGCACATTTTTATTATATTCTGAATGAATAGGAAATTTCCCCATAGTCTAGTTAACTTTTTTTCATCTTGTAAGGTTGAAGAGACAACAATATGTACCATACTAATAACCTGAGCTGTGCAAATAACTAAGTTTTTGGTTCACTGGCAGTTCAAAAAATTGTTTTGACTGAATCAGAACCAATGTTTTTTAGAATTTTTGGTGAACTGAAAAAGTTGGAAATATTTCATGTCCGGTATTGGCCATGAAAGCAAAGGCATCAAGGGTGAGTTTTCCCACTGCTGAGGAAAAGGCAGCAGTGAAGTAGTGATAGTTCCATGATTATGACTCAACTCCCACCTCTCTTCCCTTCTAGGTGATCCCATACCGGTTGTCTAGGTTGGGGCTTTCTCCAGTTGCAGGTGTTCCTCTCACAGCCACTGGGCCAGATAACAAATGTGAGACTGACTTTAAAGACTTGTGGTGAAGTCTCTCACATGAGATGTGAGAAAACCAAGCTTAAGGGATTTGAGCCTGGACAAGATAAGACCAGGGAGTAGAAACAGGCCTTCCTGAGTATACCTCTGGGACTATGCTACCCACTAACATCAAACAAACTGGGATTTAGCAGCTCTGGAAAGGGGAAGAAGGTGGTAAAGGGACACTTTTCTATTTACCCAAAGGGGATTAGAAACTTCAGAAAATGACAGAAATCTGTTCTTTACAAAAACTTCCAAATAAAAACATTTTCCAAAACATTTGAGAAACTTCACAATTTTCTTCTGCTGCCTTTCTTCCTCCAGCTCTGACACAGATGGACAAGCTGATGCCCCAAACGTTTAAGTGATGGTCCCAAGATCAGAGTGAAAGAAAGTGGGTGAGCTAATATCTCTTATTGGACCAATGCCTGTTGGTGACAGAGAAAAGCTTTTGAGCTGCACAGAGCTCTCCTTCTTAAGATCAAGCAGATGATTTAGTAGTGAGGGTTAGAACAGGTCCTCAGCTCCCCACTTTGAGGCTCACCAGCCTCTAGCGGCAAGTACTCAGCATGTTGCAGGATTGAAAACAAAGAGACCAAACCCCTGAGATCAATAGTTCCCAATCCAAACCTTTTACCCTGTTTTCAGATGTATTGCTTTCTGTGATCTCAGCATAGAGGGCACCGTTTTAAAATGGTGTTCTCTGCACAGTGTGACCTCACACACACCGTAAATGTGAGGTCACACTACATGGAGGATACATTTTGTATAACTAAGGGTACGTCTAGACTACAGGGTTTTGTCGACAGAAGTTTTGTGGACAGATACTGTCGACAAAGCTTCTGTCGACAAAGAGCGTCTAGACTACATTCAGTTCTGTCGACAAAGCAAGCTGCTTTGTCGACAAAACCCTGTAGTCTGGACACAACCCTAGATGCAATAACACCTTCTGTCGACAGAACTCTGTCGACAAAAGGTGTTATGCCTTGTAAAATGAGGTTTACCAGCGTCGACAAAACTGCTGAGTTCTGTCAACGTTATGTCGACAGAACTCAGCGGTAGAGTAGACGCAGGTATAGTTTTGTCGACAAAAGTCCACTTTTGTCGACAAAACTCTGTAGTCTAGACACACCCAAAATGGTATCTCATGCACACCAGCAGAGTCCTTCATGTAGTGTGACCTCACATGTGCCATGACAGGTATGGAGAAAGTGAATAAGGAAAAGTTATTTACGTGTTCCCATAACATAAGAACTAGGTGTCACCAATGAAATTTGGTTTAAAACCAACAAAAGGACATTTTTCTTCATGCAGCACACAGTCAACTTGTGGAATTTCTTGACAAAAGATGTGGTGAAGACCAGAACTTTAACAGGGTTCAAAAAAGAACTAGATACATTCATGAAGGTTAGGTCCATCAATGGCTATTAGCAGGGCTTGACAAACAGTGGTGAAATCTACTCACCAGCCCCGCACTGCGCATGTGAAAGACCCTCATTGCGCATGCGTGCGCCACCGGTGAACGGAGTGACCGGCTGAAATCTAGTCGCCACGGGCAAGTAGATTCACTGATTTGTTGAGCCCTGGCTATTAGCCAAGATGGGTAGGAATGGTATACCTAGCCTCTGTCAGAGGCTGGAATTGGATGACAGGAGAGGGATCGTGTGATGATTCCCTGTTTGGTTCATTCCCTTTGGAGCATCTGGCATTGTCCACTGCACTAGATGGACCTTTGATTGGATCCAGTATGGCTGTTCTGATGTTCTTATGTTCTTAAGTGCAAGGTCACTCTGTAGAGAGGATCTCATTTTACTATCCCGCACAAGAGGGACTGCCATAATGCCATCTACTGATAGAGCAACCCCATTTGGGGTTGTGACTATTGTTTGGGAACCAAATCAGACCAAAAATAATCATACGACTCACAAGTAAACCTCCTGCTCTTCTCTGGTTGCACAACTCCCAGGTCCACAGTTGTTTGTAGATGTATAGGCCATATAGCTACTGGAACGGTATTGGCTGGGTATGTGTCTAGAGACATAACTTTTAAACTGGAAATCCTTTGGTATTTACCCTTGCAATATTTACAGGAAACATTCACCCAAATGTCCACTAGACATTGTGATGGACCGGGCCAGGTCAGGGCACTGCTAAGGGCATCAGTTCAGGGCGAATTGCTCAAAACCAGGGCTACTTACAGCCCTTGACTAGAGACCTTTCCCAAATAGGCCACAAACCAGTCACACAGAGCACTTCAGCTGTCAATTTGGCCAGCAGAAAGCCGCACAAGCAAAACCCCTCAGACACCTCAGCTCTCCCTGTGCCTCAATCAGCCCTGGGCCTTACGCACAGCTAAGAGGTTATAAAACCTGATCTCACCTGATCTCACCAACTCCGAACAGATCCTCCCAGTTCCAAATTACTAGCCACAGTCCCCAGTCAATTTACACTTTAGATCTTACCCACAAGGGCACGCTGGGCCAATCTTTTAGAATCTAAAATCTAAGGGTTTATTAATAAAAGAAAGAAAAGGTTGAGAATAAGATTGTTAAGGAGAATACATTAAATACATCAATTACCAAGTTCTTCATGCAGGCTCTTAGCAGAGATGTTACAAACTTCTAGCTTAAAAGTCTCTGGTGTACATCCTGTGTCAGGATGGGTCTCTGTCCCTCGCAAGGATGCATCTGGAATCAGTAGCAAGACTGAAGACAAGATGGAGACAGCCTCATGGCACTTTTATATTCCTGGTGTATCCCAAACTGCAGCTGGTCACATGATCAAGTGACCTATCTCTGTTTCACATGCCAGCAGCCATGAGGTATTGGCTGGTCTTCAGTCTTCCAGATGCATTCCTCAAGTGTGTATTGGCCTCTCCAAGAGCCATTGTCCATGAAGCAGTGCTAGTTAGCACAGCCATTCACTGACCAATCCTTCCTCACGATAGGCAGTCCAGGCCCATTGCTCACTCCTAGACAGAACATTTACAATACAAGAACAGAGCCCATATTCATAACTTCACATACAGAAATCACACAAGTACATGAGTATCATACAGAGAACCAGTAGAGCATGAGCTTTTATTTGATACCTCACATGGCCCACTTAGTACAGAATTTGGGGCAAACACCACCTGTGGGTGCACCAGTGAGCTGTCTGCTCACTTTAAAATCCAATAACGTGACAAATGTCTAAAAGGAGATTTATTGTGCAATGACAAAGCTCTGTCTCTACGGCAAACACTGTATAAATTAATGGCCTGCCACTTATTGTCTTGCTTTGCTAAGCTTTTCAAACATACTTTATGCCTGACAATAAAGAGACCAAACATGAGGAAGAACAGTGGATCTGAATGCCACAACTTGCATAATAGTCAGGAGACAGACGTGTGAGGAGTTTGTAAGTAAAATAGACTACATAATGCAATTTGTGTGTGTGCCTTTTTATTGTGGTCCAGTGGATACTATTCCGATGGGGGAGTTAAAAAACATGATTTCCATTTCTAGCTGTGTGTGACGGGCCATCACTGCACCAGGGGGAGGCCGGCTGGAGCCACCCCCCACCGGGAACCGGCGGCCAGCCCCGAGCCCCCCAGCGTTACCCCGGCGTAAGCCGGAGGAGCCGGCAGGACCACTTGCCGCCGCACCTGCACCGGCAGGGGAGGATTGGGCCCCTCCTCCACGGCCCG